TACAATCTTCTAATTTTAAATTTCCACAAAATGAGAATTTATGAATTTGATTTAAATTGTCCTTTTGGAATGATTTAAATGAGATCAGAATAGCAGACGAAGAAATATAAGTCATTAGCTCCAAACATTCATCATCCTCCATCTTGATAAGGTTTCAGGCTAGAGAAACTATCAGGGCTGGACCCCCTCCTCCATTCCACCAAGGAGAAATACACTGGTTCTTTCTCATTCCTTGCTTTCTTGCTTAACAGAATGTAGGGAACCACACACTCATTTACGAGGGGAGTTTCTCTTTTAGGCAGATAACTTAATTACTTCAGGAGGGTCAATACCCCCACTCTGCCCTCTACCTTCTTCTTCTCTACCTTGGAAATAAATTATTTTGAATCTAACCATATAAGAAGGATATCGCTTTCTGTAAAATTTCAAAGGAGCCCCCGTGGTGCAGTAGTTAAAGCACTCTAACCAAAAGGTCAGCAGCTGGAACCCACCAGCTGCTCCGCGAGAGAAAGACGTGGGAGTCTGTTTCCGTAAACATTTACAGCCTCAGAAACCCTATGGGGCAGTTCTACCTTGCCCTGTAGGGTTGCTATGAGTCAGAATTCACTTGATGGCAGTGGGTTTGGGCTAAAATCCTATTAAAAGCCTGTAAGTGTAACATAAGTGATTCATTCAAGCACATGAGTGAGCGCCTCCTGTATTTCAAGATTTGGGAGACAAGGATAAAAAACAAAACAAAAAAACACAGGACATGACATCGAGAGCTCAGCCTAATAGAAGAGTTAGCCATGTAAACAGATAAATTAAAACACAACATGGCTCGTATTGTGATCCACATAGGCAATCTGCAGTGGTATCACGAAGGGTGGAGTCACTAACCCTGACCTGGGAAACCGCAAAAGCCTCACAAACAAGGCTAAGTGAGCCATGTCTTACGCACAGAATTGAGTCTCCCTGGAAAAGGAGGAGGGCGGTGAAGGGGCGCGCCAGGCCTAAGGAACGCATGCGCCGGCACAGGATAGGAAGTGGTGTATTCTAAGCACACAAGTCTGGTCTTGGGGATTGTGGAGAGGGAGGGGGTGCCGTACAGTGGGAAGGAAGAAGCTAGAGAGGAAGACCGAGGGCAGCTGGGTGACAGCACCTTCCGGCAAGCCCACAGACCATGGATAATGGGCAGACATCGGGAATTCTTCTATGAGGGGTGTGGCCTCAGTAGCGGAAGGAACGACTCTATCTAGTTGTACCGTTAGAAACTGCAGATTTTTGTAGGTCAAAAAGAGTTGAATATTATCGATTTCTTACGGTTCGTTAATCATTTCAAGGTCCATACAATGATGCTGCAGTTTCAACCTGGGCACAACAACCAAACCAGTCGCCATCGAATCGATTCCGATTCATGGTGACCCCATGTGTTGCAGAGTAGAACTGTGCTCCATAGGGTTTTCATGGATGTGA